TGCTTTCAACTCCCACTTGACTCGAAGCTTCTTGATAGCAGGGACTAAACCCCTCATCATGTTGACATGTATAGGGTGGTACATCATAACCACCCTATACATGTGAGATGAAAGACTCTTACATTCTCTGCTATATCTACAGAGCGAATCTTACACAGCCATTACAAATAGTTTTTTGAAAACATCATGACAGAGATGTAGAAAATAAAGCTATATATAAAGAACCTCAATTTTGAGAGACCAAAATAATAAAAGGAAATTTTTTAAATGAGCTTGAAGTCCACTTTTCTTTCTCTTCATATTTTTTATCTCCCACTTCATTAGCTTCATGGCTAGGGAAAAAAAGCTATTAAGCCTACTGTAATAGCCATTGCTCTGGTTCTCTAAACCTTTTTAAGAGATGGAGATGGTGACTCATTTGAAAGGCTTTTGCTAACAGCAAGTGAAGCACCCTCCATCACCTTGACATTCAGCAGTTTCAGTTCTAACCTGCTTGGTCTTTCTCGCATCCCACCCCATATCCGCAGAATTAAGAAAATAAATTGGTTTTACTTCCAGACCTGAAGGTCCCATTGACACTTCTCCCTCTCTGCCCACATGCTTTTCTTGGTCCAGATTCACCTTCTTTGAGGAAATCACCCCGAGAACACCAGAGCAATTTCAAAGCTCTCTCTGGACTCAAGTCAGGGAGAAAGGGGAACATTTCTCATACAAGTTATTGTCCTTGAACATTCAATGGCAGAGCTAGCTTCAGCTTCAGCCAGCCCTTGCTTTGCTTAGACTGCCTATAATTGTGAAGCTTGGAAAAAATCCTTTTCTTTTTTTTCTAAGGTCTCCCTACTTTTTTCTTTGGGGGACAACCTAAAAATAATGTCATTTCCTTGTGACTTTTGTGTTTGGTTTCATCAGCTAAATTGGCTTAAAATTGGTAGATGCCTCATGAGTTATTATTTAATTAATAGAAATAATGAAATCTTGATTTCTAAGGCATCTTCCCACCAAACCTCAAAGCCTGCCAACACACTTCTTTCCTGAAGAACTAGGCACAGTCTTCAGGGGCATGTAAGGTACAGATGTACTCAGGACTTCCTAGCTGCATAATTTAAACTTGTTTCCATTTAAACAGAATGGCTCTATCGAGGTCAACATGTACCCTGTTCTGAGTTATTCTGTATTGCACAAAATTGGTTTTTCAGGGTGTGCCTTGCCCTGCGAGACTCCACTCTGGTGGGAGAAGATGACTGTGCACCTGGAGGAAATATTTGAACAGCACCATCTGTCCGGCATCACCCACATAGCAGAGACTGATAAATAACTTACTCCTGGAGTATAAGGGGTGCCCCCCCTTTATGTTTATTGGGGATGAGTTGAGAATTCAGGCACACATGAACATATTCGAATCACATCAGGGAAACGACCGAGGAAATGTTGTGACTCTATATAAAGAGATGGATACCTAGCACGACAAAAGCCATGGTCTCCACCACCTTGCCATTTGACCGTCACATAGTATATGCATCAAGGACCCACAGAGGGCACCCTCAGCTGTCACAGGGGCTTCAGCTGGGCTCGGTCCTTGCTGTTCACACAGCCTAATTCAGCTGCCATCTTCCTATCCTGTTTGCCCATCTGGACATGCTGTCCATCCATCTGCCAAGTCCTTTGTTTGAACTTGTTCCTCCTCTTCCATCTCTGGATCTGGACTCAACTGTGCGGTTTCACTCTCCAACCTGTGCCTACCAGCAGTCTCTCATCAGAGACTTTACATGTCTGTGAGCTTTCCTGCTTCCCGGGCCTCTGAACCTCTGGAGTTCTCGGGCCTCTTAACCCTTTACAAGCATTCTGTTCCCAGTGCACATCAATATGTGTATATGTGTGATCTGTGATCTGAGAGTTAATAATTAAGACTGGAATATAAGAACGTGAATCTTGGTCAGGATTATCAAGGAAAGTGAAAGTATTTGGTAAATTGCTGTCATTGAAACCACTGCACATTGTGAGTTTATCTGATACATTCTGGCACCGTGGAAAAACAGTGGCAGAGAAAACTCAACCTCTCTTGTCAAAAACTAGATTACAACCAAATGACATTGTTCTATGGTTTGGCTGACCTATCACTCACTGGGCACGGTGGCCTCCAGCTGTGAGGTAGAGCACTGAATAGGCAGAAGTACTGCGGCAAGCTTGAGGGAGAGCCTGTATGAAAGCAAATAATAAATTCCTATTGCTGTGAATACCAAACTCACAAGGGAGCATACAGGGCCACAGCTGTTACTAAGAACGGTCTGTCTTATTAAAAGTAAAAGACACAAAAACCTCACAGAGAGCTGTACCTTCTCCATGTGTGGTCATTTCAGTCCAGGAACCACCTCAAATCCATGACTTGGAAACAAAGCCTTGTGAGCTAGGGACAAAATTCAGCATGGTAGGTAAGGGTGGTTCATCTCAAGGGTCTTGAATTTCCTTATCAGTCCTTAATACAACGGACATTTGTTTCTGGAGAAAGAGGGTCCTTTGCCTAGACCCTGCCAAGCTAGGTTTAGGAACAGCACCTCCGTCACTCAGCCAAGTCCTGAGCACTCAACCTTCCCTCTGTCAGCTGCTGCAATCAGCCATGCCGAGCACCCGGTCACTCATAAAATGTGTTGTTTTGTTCCACTTTTCATTTGTACAGAACCAATGGGAAGTGCTTTTCATCAAGCCCTCTTAGTGCAGAAACATCTTGACATTACTTTGTATAAAAATAACTAAAGGACTAAAACCTAATCTGATGCAAAAAAAAAAATGACTGCAATGACCTCAGGTTATAATACAAAAGTCCTTATGGAACCTGGAGATTATTTTTATACAAACTATGGCAACTATGAGCAATAAATTAAACACCCTGCAGTCTTACCATAAAGGAACTGCTTGTGAAAGGAAATAAAACCACACCATTACTAACCACAGACAAATGTGAGGATGGATACAGGATGTTCTTATTGGAGGAAAATGGATCATGTACTTCAATGTGCTGCTTGAGGGCTGTGTACAAATAAAAATGGCTTTACACAATTATTCCAATAATGATAATTTAATGGTTTCACACTGAAAAGAATTTATACCTAGCTAGCATTTTATGCTTCGGTAGGAATGTAAAATCTAACAATTTAAAAAATGGAATTCACAGGCACAGATCTTTAATGGAATACTTCGTGTCTTCTAAGGACATTTCTGTCAGAGTAATCAAATTGTGTAAAATAGAGAAAAGGGGTTTGTGTCCCAAGACATTCCTCTTGGGCCATGACAACTTTGAACAAAAATATTTTCACAAATTCTCATTTTAAACATCTTCTTTTACAAAGCACAATACGTAAGACTTTTCTAAATACAACTTTAGAAAATGAAGCAAAAAAATAATCTCCATAGATGCCTGGCTGAGTCCATGCTAAATGCAAAGGAATTTTAATTTTCAAAAGAGTGATCATTCCAAGCTTTTCAGTATTCTTGATGGGTCCATGTGGTCAAGAGTAAAGATGGTGGCTGTTTGGGTAGTGGTTCATCCAGTTCTGTGACACACAATCTTCTTGCTGGTTAGCCTAAGGGACGGTAATGAGGCTGGATAAACCAGCTCATTTCTCTATAATCACTTTCTCTCTGTCTCTCTCTGTGTCTCTGTACACCCCAAAAGCAATCCAATGCCTCTCTTAGGAAAAGACATCAGCCCTCCACATTCCATGTTACCAGCACCGATTGAGGATGCTCCAATCTCTCAATTTCATTCTTAATGAAATTGACTCACTCTGTATAAACATGCTATATCATCAATAGGAATTTTCTAACAAACAAATGAGAAATTCAGACATCAAGAATCTAGTCCTCACTGTTGGAACAGGTGGTAGGAAATCTCTGAAGGCTTCAAGTGTAATACAGAAAGGCTTAGCACAGTGAAGGGGAACAGGAATGCTTTACACTGCTTGTAGAAACCTTTTGCTCTTGGCCCCAAGCACACTGAGACCATGGCTACTGAAAAGGCAACTATATTAACACACGGGAATGAAGAATGATTTCTTTACACATTCCCTTCTCTTATTGTGACCCCAGCTATGAAGGCTAGGGCAACAGGACTCTGTAAATACATGGAGGGAAGGGATAGCCTCGAGCAGAAAGGACAAGTATGCAAGTGAGAACAAGGCATGGGGAGGGAGACAAGGAGAAAAAGGAAGAGACATTTATTTGTTGTATTTTCAGTGATGAATATCATGTGAGGGGTTTTGCATCATTCCTTCGGCGTCATCAATTCTCATTCTTTGTGGTAGTGAAAATCTAATAATGTTTAGTAGTTTCACTATAAAATGCAGGAAATAGACAAAGCAGCAGTTTAGAAACACATCAAACATATTTGGGGAGCATCAAGGGACCACCCCTTCCACCTCTACCCCATCAACAATCTTGCAGTAAAGGATGCCCCCCATTTTCAGCTAAGGATGAGAAAACAGTTACATAGTCTAAGCCTTAACTGTTCATGTACTATAAAGATAAAGCAGACAAGCAAACATCAGTTTCACTGGGAAAGAAAAAGCAATTCCATAAGTGCAGGAAAGATCCAATAGCTACATTTCCACAAGACCCTCCTCCTGTTCTCCTGGATCTCAGGAGGGGGTTACAAGTGCGCAAGGCAAATGACACTGTGAATACAGTTTAAACAATAACACACACACACACACGCATAACCCAGTGCAGGAAATAATCCAACTCCCCCCCCATTTTTATTTGCATTTTATTTTTATTTATTTTTGCTTTAATAATGCATATTCTGTTCACGCAATAGGTGTAAAAGGCAGGAAGCAGGGGTTTAACTTGGCTGATGATAAAACAATCAAGCTGGAATGACATTTCTAGTTTCATGAACAAACTCAAAGTGGGCGAAACTGAAAAGTCACAGCTGGTACCAAAGAGCAGGCCAGACTTGCCAGCTGTCTCCTCCTAGGACCTTTGGCTATGGTGAGAGAAGCTGCGAAGACAGCGGCCTCTAGTGGACAAGAATAAGTAGCTGATCTTTTTTTTTTTTTTTTTTTTGGTCTATTTGGAATCATGGTAGCTGCATCACAAAAGCTCCAATCAAGAGGGTGGTAGAAAGAAGGCACAGATCATTGCAAATACCAGGTTTTCTCTTTCTCTTTTTATAAATATACCATCATATATAAGCTAAAATTTCTCTTCGAGTGGTGGGGGTCGGCCGGCAGGGAAAGGGAAGGGTTGGACGTCAAATTGCATATGTAATAGAATCCTAAAGGGGAATACAAAGCCAGGTGGCGTTCATTCCACCTGCAGCAAGTGAGCAAGACACCTGCTTTTGACTAGGTTAGCACAAACACTAGGGGCATCTGTGACAAAACACGGTTTAAAAAAAATCATAAAATTATAAAGCCTGTAAACGAAGAATCTGAAATTACATTTTATTAATGGAAAATATCATCAAAATAGTACTACTCTGGACTAAACTGCCTGAGTTTTCATTTCTCAGGAGATCTCAAGGTAGAAAAGCCTTTAGCACAATTGGCTATGAATCACAACCACTGCCAGACCCAGGACGACACCATGGGAAAGAGTCTCCTCTTGGATGGAATTTGTGTTGTGCTATCAAGACTTTTGTGCTAATCATTCAAACAGGGACATGTTGAGGCAAACCTTTAATCTTTTGGCACAAGATGATTTTGGCTGGGGCAGAAAATTTGAGTCTCGGACTCAGGGTGAAAAATGTAACATCTCAATTATCAAGTGTTCACTTTGATTGAAGCGCTTTCTTTATGTCATTCACTTCCATCTATAAAGAGGGGGAAAGCAGCAAACACAGGCATCATGAAACGGCTGCACTAGAGAAGCTGAAAGATAATCACCCTCATCAATGCAAAGAAAAGACTCAAGCTGACAATTTTAGGGCTGAAACTGGTAAAATGACATCTGAGTTAAGTATTGATAACAGTGCCAGAAACAATATAAATCTGAAACCAGGCACTCACGCACAGTACCCTGGCAAATAGTGCGCCTAGTCATTCCTGGGTTCCTAGGCTCCAAAGCTGATCAAAAGCAGCAATGACCCTGGATTCATGGCCAGAGGGCGGAGCAGGCCATCAAGACCATCTGAGAGTGACCCTAAAAAGGAGGTGGAAGCACTCCCAACAGGATGGGGAGCGTTTCCTATCCTCTCTAGGCATCATGATTCCACCACAAGATCTCCACCAGCTGTCAGGACAGGGTTGGATCAGTGGCGAGAGGGGGACAGAGCTCAGATGCCATGGAAGGACTAACAAGGCCACTGGGGAGAAGAGCTGAAGTGAAAGGCTAATATGGAGATGGACCCCAGATAACAACAGAGCCTCTGGTCTACCATGTTCCCTGGTACTTAGTATGATGAGGCATCCTATATTATCCTATAAACTGGAGGGGATATTTTACAGATGATATGTTTAAATTCCAAACTAGAATCCCCAATTAGAAGTATGTCGATTCAGCTCTTCCTTCCCCAAGAGCATTTGGAGCTCAGGTAAAGATAGAATATAAGACTCTATGACTCTGACATTCTCAGGGCGTCAGTCACGTTCTTTTTCTTCGACCCCCCCTCCCCTTTCAGACAGGATCTCACTTGGTAGCTCAGACTGCCCATGGGGCTAACACTATATATAGCCCAGGCTTGTCTGGAACCTGTGAGCCTCCTTCCTCAACCTCCCCAGTGCTGGAATTAAAAAGTATGAGCCACCATGCCCAACGGCAATCATTTCCTTTCAACCGGAAGCCCTAAGTTTGGCTCCATTACCAACTGAGCTCAGGCTTCATGGACAGCAGAGCGCTGAGGGACTCACCTGCAACCGAAGCCGGATTTTCTTTTCTTCATCCAGCTCTGACAGTAACTGCTTAATCTCATGTCTGAAAAGCAAATGCAAATAGGATCAACTCGAAGCCCAGAGTTTCCCAATGAGAGATAAGAAAATCTGTAATCACTATGAAATCTATCTGACCTTTTTGCAAAGAAAGTATGGACCAAAAATAATTTATTTTTTAATCCCCCCCAGGATGTATGTATGTGTGTGCATGTGTGTGAGTGTGTGTGTGTGTGTGTGTGTGTGAGAGAGAGAGAGAGAGAGAGAGAGAGAGAGAGAGTGTGTGTGTGTGTGTGTGTGATGGGAGCAGGCATATGCATTCTACATTGTGCAGAGGTCAGAGAACAACTTTTGTGGAGTTGGTTCTCTCTTTACAGCTTTATGTGGGTTCCAGAGACTGAAGTCAGGTCATCCCTGCCTTACGTTGTTGGATGGTGAGCTGGTTAAGTTTTTGTAAGCTTGCCACAAGTCAGGGTCATCTGCAAAGAAAGAACTTCAACCGAGAAAATGCCTCCACTATATTGGCCTCTAGGCAAGTCTGTGGAGTGTTTCTGATTAATGGCTGATGTGGGAGAGCCCAGCCCACTGGGCACGGTGCTGCCCCTGGTCAGGTGAGTCCTGGGTTGCATAAAAAAGGTGGGATAAGCAAGTCATGGAGAGCAAGCTCTTAGGCAACACTCCACCACCATGGTGTCTGCCTTAGTTCCTGACTCCAACTTCCTGCCTTGACTTCCCATGACGATAGACTGTAACCTGTAGTCCAAATAAACCTTTCCTCCTAAGTTCGATCTTGTCAGGGTCTTTATCACAGCAATAGAAAGCTACCTAAGGTGGCAAGCCCCTTTACCGGCTGAACCAGCTCACCTCCCCCAAACATTCTCTCTTTGTACTGTTACTTCTTAAGATTTCGTTTAGACAGAAAGGTTTGCTGTTACCAAAACATGTAGCCTTCAAATGTCAGGTCTGGAGATGACCTTAGCAATTCCTTAGGCGAAATTTCTCCCAACAGGAGAAGATGGGGAAACTCAGGCACAAAGTGGTGTCCTGATTTTCGCAATAACTAGACTCCAGTACCCAGGCTCGTAGTCCATCATCTTTCCTCTAACTTCTCTTTTATAACCACTGGGTACTTACAGAATAATTTTCACTATAGTCACTTTTTGTTCGTGTTTTTTCATGTTCATGTGTATGTGCAAGTCCTTGTGTGCGCATGGGCGTGGAGAGGTCAAAGGTTGATGATATCATGTGCCTCGGTGTTACGGGAGGTCCTCCCACTCCTCCAGCTTATAGCCGCTGAGATACCAGCCCATTGGGGCGTGGTCTCTCTCCCTTTAAAAAAGCGGCCACTTCCCTCTCCTCTCTCTCTTCACTTCCTGCTCTGCCAGGAAGGGTTGCGCAGAGGGCTGACAGAGCAGGAAGTGAAGAGAGAGAGAGAGGAGAGGGAAGTGGCCGCTTTTTTAAAGGGAGAGAGACCACGCCCCAATGGGCTGGTATCTCAGCGGCGATAGGCTGGAGGAGTGGGAGGACCTCCCGTAACACCTCCCTAAATTTCTTTCTACCTTACTGCTTGAGGCAGGGTCTCTCACTGAACTCAAAGCTTGCTGATTCAGCTAGACTGACTGGCTAGTAAGACCCAAGATCCTCTGGTCTCTGCCTCCCCAGAGTTGGGATTACAGATGCTTTGTACATGCATGCTTGAGATCCGAACTCACGTCTTCGTGTTTGTGTGGTAAGGACTTTCTTACTGAGCCATCTCCCTAGGCCCATTGCAGATATTTTCACCATTCCATATATACTTCAATTTTCTACAGAAACTATCTTAATAATAGGTCACTGGTATGTTTTCACTAATTCTCACAAAATCCCACAAATTGACTTTACCTTAAGATACACTAATTGGACCTTAAATACATGAATTAACAATATTGAAGTCTGAAAGAGGGCAAACATAGGACCTACAGCCCAATGCCTTCTCCAACTCAAAATAATAAAGTTGAATGAAGCGACTCAGTCTGTAAAGCTGGGACTCTGTTCTTTGGACTGCTCTAAACGCTGTATTCCCTTTGTTTTGAGGTATTAGATGTGTACATTTGTGAAATGGGACAAAAACTTCAGAAACATCGCAGCAAACACAGTGACAGTACATTTGTTCAACTCCTGATGAATACCATGATGGTCCCCCATACTTGAGACTATGTCCTAGCACTGCTGGTAACACTCTGGTTACAGCTAGTTATAACCTGACATAAACTAGTTACGATTCATTAGCATAGTTATTTAAACACACATATCCAGATGGGTATGGGTACCACTTAGGGCCTAGGAAAGCAGTCGACAATCCCTAAACCACCAGTCCAACCTCAGGAAAACTTGGCAGACACATAGTAAGTGGGACATTTCTTTAAAAAATAACATAATTAAATATATCATAGGCCTGTTGCAGTTTATACCCACTCCCAGCAGCCCATACCCACTTTCAGCTCCGCTGCCACTATCAGTGTTCAGCCTCGCCCACCCTCTGGGAAGAGTGAGATCCAAGCTTTCAGAAGTAGGCCATGGCGAGCCAGTGGAAAGCCACCTGGAAAGAGCTGCAAAGGGGTCCCTGGCACTCACTTCTGCTGGTCCTTCATGCTCTCAATGATGCTCCTCAGCTCCCGGACTTGGGTCCTAAGCTCCTCTACAGCAGCCTGGCTGCTGGCTGCAGGCTCCATCTTTGGTTTTCCTTCTGTGCTGAACAGAGACGGAGAATTGGCTCTGTGTCCAGCTGTTCCCAAAGAGGATGGCATGGGCGAGGATGCCACTGAAGAGAGAGAGGCTGGCCCACTGCTGCCAGCTGCCATGGTCCCTGGCTTGGGTGGCAGGGATGCCTTGTTGTCTGACACCTGTGAAGAGGGAAGGTGGAGAGACTTCAGAGCTTGGGATCTGTGCAGGGGCTGCCTCCCTGTCCTGGCGACTCAAACCAACCTTCAACACCCAAGCCCACACCTGTCTCCACACACTACTCATTTATTCCTTCGCTCACAAGCCATCAATGGCCAACTTGGTACAGATAGACCACCGCCCAAGGGCTACCTGCATGTACTTTAAATTCCATCTTTCTAGGCAAGATGGTCCCAGATTGGTTTCATATACACCGAGACGTACAAAGTGGCTTGTTACAAAGCCTGAAGTAAGCAAGGCATTTTCCTGGCCTCTAGGAGCTTAGAAAGTACTGGGGCACTGGCAGACAGACAACGCAATACACTGCAGCACAAGAGGGAGGAAGCACAGAGAGTCCCAGAAACACATCAAAGTAGCCACATTCCAGGAAGGAAGGAGCAAGCAGCTAAGAGTTCATCTTGTCGAGGGAAGGCTGCTGGAGAAAGACGGTATAGGAGGAGGGGAGGTCCTAGACAATGGCCTAAAGACCAGGAAGCAAAACACAGTAGTGAGAATCCTGGCTCGGATAAAGGGAGCAGTAATGCTGGCGGCAGGGCAAGAAGGGAATGGTTCAAATGGCCGCATACCCTGCATACCTCATGGGTGCTGTGGGGGATAGAAAGGCCTGAGAGTTGACAAGCCTGGCACCAGACAGATCTGCCGAGACTCTGGCACCATGCAAGCTAGAAACGGTGAGTATGATTAGGTGATGACCTAGAATGAAGCCTATTTTGAGAGATGTGGGTAAGGTAGGCACATCTAACAAAGGTCATGGGCATCACTCCTGGTACTGGAGTGGGGACTGGGTAAATGGAGTCTCTGCCCTCAGCCCAGCTTTCCATTGTCAGAGAGATGATGACCGACATTGACTAGAGGGTAAAGAATCACAGGGCCATAGATGGAGAGGGAAGGAACAGGTGGCTGTACCTTTCATGGAGGAAGGCCCAGATAATCATTTTAGGTTTTGACTTTTAGAAACCAGAGGGCTAACTGACAGGGTATGCCCAGTGGCCAGAGCAAGCAACTAAAATAATAAGCTGGGCCAAGGGAGAGGAAGTCATGGGTGTCTATACAAGAGAGATGAGAAGATGCCCAATGGTGGAAGCTGGGGAATTCTAAAATGAAGCAAGGAGAGAAGGAAGAGAGAGCTCTTGACAATTGGGAAATTGTAAGAGAGGGAATGAAGAAAGGCCAGCAGAAGGCCTTGGCTTAGGGGCGGTCCCTAGAGGAAAATAAAGGTTGGATAAGTGTGTCACTGGGGTTGAGAGGAAAATGGAACCCACTTGGTAGTACAAGGATGGAGACAGAGACCCAGTGGTGAGAGACCAGCTAATGAATGGGCACTGAGCAATATGGCTGACAAAAATGAAGATCCTTTCCACAAACTTGTCTGAGGAAGGAAGAGGGAGGAGAGGGGGTGTGAACTCAGGCAGAAGCTTCCTCGGGAGATAGACTAGAAGGAAGGTTTTATTTGCTTTCACAGATGAGTGAGACCCTGAGCTGCATGAGATATTAGGGGAGAAGCCTATGGACAGACAGGCTGAAGATGGAAAGGCGGGAAAGGCCTGATGGCGAGGTGTCCAGAGGACACAGGCTGTGCATCAGTCTTGGATGAGAGGAAGTACAAGTGCCTGGCAGGCGCAGAGGGGAAGCACTGGCAAGGGCTAGTGAGCAGGTACACTGATGGGGGGGGCAAAGTAGTGGGATAGGATTTTGGGAGCAGAGAAGATGAGTGATAGGGAAGCCAGGTCTGGTGGTGAAGCTCGGCACAGCAACCATGGGATTTCCTCCAGCAGCAGGCGCTCAGCCGGCCATCCCAGGGAAGGTGCCAAGGAGGGGTTCAGCTGCCACGGCAGCAGCAAGGAGGTAGAGTCTGGATTCAGGCTGTGCTAGAGGCAGAGACTGGGCAGAGTGTGCCAAAAGCAGATGGGCCATCGTTCCCAGTCTCTCTGTTCGCCTTTTCTCTGCCAAGTTACCATTGAGGAAAAGCACTCTCTGCTGCCAGGGAGAGCACTCCGCCAGCCGGGGCTCTGTTGTTAGGAGGAGTCATAGTATGAGGCAAGAGGAACCGACATTTACAAAACTCTGATTGCACCCTGGACACTAGCTCTATAATGTAAACAGTGATCATCTTTCACATGCATTGCACCAAGCAGGAAACTGAGGCTTATAGGGAAAGCTAATCTAATAATCATCAGAGCTGGAATTCAACTCCCCTTTACCAGTTAGATCCTCAGCCGGGCACAGTGTCTATGGCTGATGGAGTCTGAAGATCTGTGCTCTTCTCTTGTTTTCTTTGTTATTATATTATTTTATATTATATATCCAAGGCTTCATGACTTCTTCCATTTCCCATCCTCTCTTACCTCTCTCTCAAGACCCACCAGTGCCCATAACTGGCTTCCAGATACTTCCAAGATGAATAGTTCTTTTGCTGTTTTCTGTCTGATGAGCTTTCAGACCAGTTCACTGCAGCTAACAAATAGGGTTTTAGTCCCTCACATGGTCTAGGTCATCACACTCCTTGATCAAATTAGTTCAAGTGGAATTTCCTGAAGAAGTGAAATATCCAACCTGACAACTCCAGGGAACTGAAATAGGCTAATGGGATAGAGCTGTGCAGACCAGAAACATGAAAAGCCACTATTCGCCAGTAGGTGTCACTGTAGAGACATCCCTAGGATGACCGAGACCAGGAAACTGAAGTTATGCCTACAGACACCAAAAAAAAAAAAAAAACAAACAAACAAAAAAAAAAAAAACAAAAACCCCACCTAAACAACAACAAAACTAGTTTAAATCCAATTTCAGTAAATAGAATCCTCTGAAAAGGAAGAATACCTTGGCTTTGTGGGTTATTAAAATTGATCTGCTTTATAGGATCACATTTTGCTTACTGTATCAGATTTCAAGAAAAGTCCGTACTGCAAACTCTCGAATTTATGAGGAGGAGAATCTGTTCCAATCTTTGATTTGTTTGTGCTAACGCCTGCTTCAAATAACTACGGTTTTGTGCTTCTAGACATTAAAATGTTGCTAATGTTCCAAGAAAACAATCTTACTTGAGGCTTTTTTTTAAAATACAAGAAGATGTGGTTTTAAAGTCTCCATTTATTTGTAGGGAGATCTGAACGTGTATACGATGTTTACTCACCAAAGCTGCATTCAGTAGCTAAATGATGTCCTTTTTGTAGCGGGAATCTTACCCAGGATCTGACACATGCCAGGCAAGTGCTCTTCCACTGAGTTACACTTTCTTCTCCATTGGTCTTTATCTTTGCCCCCCCCCCATCCCTGTGTGTGTATGGCTCTCTTTCTTGAGAAGGGGAGTGTTCACTATGCTATCCAGGCTGGTCTCAAACTCCCTGCCCGTCAAGTCATTGTTCCTACCTCACCTCCCCAGCAGGTGGGACTATGGCTGGTAACCAGCATAACAATGTTTTCTTTGTTTCTTATATCAAATTACTCAAATCAGCTTTACCATTCTCTGGGCATGGAGTAAAATTAAAATGCTTTAGATTATAAATTTACTTTAGACCATGAATCCCAGACAACTTTTCTTTAAGAGACCATGTAAGTATAAAATTAAAAATAAATCTTCCAATAATATTTTTGCCAGTTTTGAATATAAAAGAGAAGGTCTGTGAGCAGAGAGCACAGCATTTAATAAAGTCTGTCGAGGTGTTCCCCAGCTGTTGAAGTTGATCAGGTGGCAGAAGTGTCTGAGGGCAGATGTACATGTGGCACTGTGAAGAGTGTGGACTACAAGAGAAACTGCAAAACAAACACTTGTATGCACAGCTCAGGGACTCTATAACACATCTAAGGGATTCTGATGACTGCAGTAATCATTACCACTAAAGAATGGCAAACATCCATCCCCACTGTCTGTTTGTCTATCTTGCTTGGTTTCTAACCCATTGTTAGTACATGCATGGAAGGGCAGGGACACCTCACCCTGGCCGCTCACTCACTTGGGATATGGTAACAGTCTTGGAAGTCTTCCTCGACACGTCTAGTCCTCTGTGCGCAAGCGAAATGTGTTCCTCTTTATCTTCTTCGGGACTTGGGGAGTCAAAGATATCGGGGCTTGAAAGGGAGGACTGGATAAAGCCAAAAGAAAATGCCTTCGTCAGAATCATACCTTAGCTGACACAGCTTTGTTAATGTGATGCTGTTTGCTTTCCAAAGCAATCAGCACTTCTATTTGATCCGTCTCCATAACACTGTGAAGCGGAAAGGATGCTCTTATCTTCTTACAACAGATAACCGTATGGCTCCCTAGCAGCAGGACTTGGACCAAGCCCCAAGAAGCTAAACTGGGAGCTGCCCCTGATGCCCATCAATCATTTCAACCATGTAAGCATCTGTTGTACAGCCTTTCCAAGTATCTCTTTTCTCCAAACATTTCTTACTGTGTGCCTTACACTGAGCTGCTACTGCAGGCTCAATGACCATATGCCATATGTGGTCCCAGCCCTTTTGGGGCTAGCAGTGTGGGAGAAAATGACCCACAGTCGATAGGAAACCACCTCATATCCTCCTCTCCTTCATCCGTCTTTGCACCCAATTCCTTGACTCTAGAATTACTACATCTGCTGTAGACGGAAGAGCCTTCAAAGATCCATTTGAGAGGAGGGCATTTCTAGAGACAAGGGACCAAGAGTAATGGGCATTTACATAGCCCCACAGCATAGCCCTGTCCACTTGCATAAGCTCACCTTTCCTTTGGTATCTGCTACTAATTCCTGCCCTCGTTACTATGAACAGTAAGCACCATTCTGGAGTGTATTTGCTAAGGTTTATACAGAACGGCAACATCAATGGGTAAAATACAGTTCGACACCTCTGCCCTTTCTGCCTCACTGTAAAATCACTGTGAACGCCCAAAAGATAAGAGTGGGGAGCAAGTCACTAGAATTCTCTAGTTCACAAGGAATGCCTTAGCTAGAATGTCTCAAGTTTAGAAGAAAACAAATGAAATAAAGAGTCCCTGGTGCAAGGATTCTTTTTTAAATGAAGAGTCTTCTAGAAATATGTTGGAGCAAGCTCAAATTCAGCTTCATTTTCACTCCTTGCTTTCTAACCTGGGGTAGATAAATGGTTCTTTTTAGAATTACCATTTGAAAAAAATGGAAAAAATTATGCTCACAAATACTTTTCCTTCCTTTAATCCTGTTTACCAAGGCAGAAACTTAAAATATTTAGGGGTATTTTTCAGCCAAGGTTTGGCTTCTAGAGGTCTTATTTGTTAATCTTCATTTAATCTGAAAATCCAATTACCTAAAATATGCACCCCCCACACCAAGCTTTCTTAGTAATCCAGGCTTACCTACTCAACCACTGTGTGATATATGGATCTTTTCAAGATTTTATTTAAAAAGCCTCCTTTTACATAACTCATATTGCCTGAGCTCCTATTAGAAGGAAACTGCCCCAGGCCGGGGAACCATAACTAGTGTTTCTTCAGTTATTCCCGCACTGGCCTTTGAGGACTATGTCCTTATCCACTAATCCCATTTGCTATGAAAACCCCACAGGTGCTAATTTCAAGAGTGAGCAAGAATTTAATGTGCCCACCCAAATGGGTACGAATAAGAATGAATGGAAAGAATCGGCTCACTATATATCATTAAAGCACCAAGGTATTCTGTTTTACATCCAAATAAAATCACTTTTGATAAGATGCCAGATGTAGAGTCACCAAAGTAAGCCTTCTTAAAGGCAGTGACCGTGTACTTCTCATTACCATCTAGATCCTTGGTATCTGACACAGTGTCCTGTCCACAGGAGATATATGTCTCTGAATATATGTCGACCAAGAAATAAACAACTGTGTGTAGCCTAAAATCTGGGTGATGATGAGGTACCACTACTTGGTCTCAAAAATAATACCCAAACTTCTCAACATGGGATTTATGAGCTAAGGGGGAATCATTTGAACCACTTAATATTTAATCCTGGAGAGACACAAAGCTCTTTATACCTTAAAGGTTTACTAAAACTTGGAAGGAAAACAAAAATGATGAAGGATTTAAAGAGAAGACAGAAGTGGTAGGCTTGGGAAATTGGAATGCAAACATGGCAAGAAGCAATCAGATAGGTTGGGTGTATATGTGCATGTTGGGCTTGTAGAATGAGGACAGGAGAAAGGAAAGAAGGCAGCTTGCCAGAGAATTCTAAAAGAGTGTAAAGGAAGCCACTTCTTTAAGTCTTTATCTCAAAAAATGTATCAACACAAAGTTATGTGTGATTCATATAGGGCAGAAAAGACAGGACAATTCAAGCCATACTTCCAGACTCAGTAGATAATGCGAGAAAAGGCTCGAAGGAAGTGGCATTCTCTTTTCCTCTAAATGATATGAACACAGGCGAGATTGATGAGGAGGCGAAAAGAGAAAAATCCTGAGAAACCTGCAAATGGTTAAATTCCTTGGTGTAGCTGGAGGGAGGTTATAAGGCTTTAGAACTGCAAAGGACAAGGCGATGTGACAGACAGACTGATAATCAGTAGACAAAACAAATGAACACATACACGCTGCTTGTGGAAGGGAAATGACCTCGTGTGTGTGCGTGGGGGGGTGAGGTAGGGTTGAGGAGTCTGTAACTAATGGCAACAGCAAGGCAACATACTTCCCAATGCCCCACATTCAGAAAACCCAAACCTAACAACATTCATGTCAGTATGGCTTATAACAAAGACTTGGAGTCATCATCAAAATCCAGCAATAAATAGTACACTCACTAGATAAATTCTTATATGCTCACACTGTAGAAAGTAGGCAGTCATTAAATTTGTCCTTCTGGAAGAAATGGTAATGATTGGAGGGAATGGTGTGCAGTTTAAGTTTAGGGGTGGAAGTAAAATGAAAACAGCCTATATTACATGATCCCAGTTTTGAACAAAAAAAAATTGAAAGTTTTCAAAAAATCTAAGGCTATATACAACAAGAGGCTATAGCAGTTCTTTGCTCTTATGGCAGGACTTGGTACTTTCTTCCTTATGTGTCATGTTGCTCAAATTTGGCACAACAATGAATGTAGTAGGTTTATAATTAAAAAGTTATTTAAAATTGCCCAGACAAAAGCAACCATCTTTGGGTTATCATTGAGTGTTCTCATTGGTCTCTTCTATAGACCGTGTACTTCATAAGCTTAAATACAACCTCTTGGAGGTCTGTATGGGTTTCTTTGGAGGCCTTCTGATGATGGGGTTTGGGAAGATTCAGGCCACTGGCTGCAACTGCATCGTGGCAAATATTTATTGAGTAAGCTTTGTCTTCTTAATAGGCCAAAATAGGCTATTTCTCTGTTTTGCTTTCCAATTTCATTTTAGGTTCAAACAAGAACTGGTCTAAAGAGAGACAGAAGCAAAGTGGGAAACAGGGAGTGCCATCTTGCTGGCAGAAACACAAAGAGCAAACAGAAAGCAATACTGCTCGATTCAAAAGATTCTCCAAGTATTTTTAGTTGGCAGTATATGTGGCGGCCTCCTTCTCCCCTTCCTTCTTCTGGGGTATAGAAAAGGCAGCATCTCTTGAAGAGTCCTTAGCCAGAATCTCCAGTCCTTTTTGCTTTTCAGCTGTAGAGAAGTAAAGAGACACTTACAGATGTGAGCGACTGAGATGGAGGCCGCCTTCCCGTAGCTTTTGGTCTGCTTGTGGTTGGGTGGCTGAGTTTCTCAGTAGATGATACCACAGAGTCAAAACCTTCTAGGTCTAAAACGAAATGAAACAGGTTTTTTAAGAATAAAAATAAGAAGGAGAAAGGGCCCTTGTTATAAGCACCCTGTCACTCTAGATTATGTTTTATCTTTTACAAAGACCATTGATACCCTAGGGTCATTCAATAAAGGACTCAAATGGAATGCAATAACCATTTCCTCCTAGCTTAGCAAGCTTAGCATGCTAGTAAGCAAGAGAGAAAAAGCTCTTGCCTTTTTCCCTTTGGCAGTTACATTCATAAATCTTTCAAAAGCTACAGATTAAGGATTAAAGGAGGACTCTTCTCTATTTCACAAATCTAACCATTCGAGTAGACAGGACATTCTTGAAGTCTCGGCACAAAAGACAGTTATCACATGGTATAACAGCAATGGATATATGAATGCTGTTTCCTGTTGATTCTAAGAAGACAAGATGTCAGAGCTGTCTCATCTATTTGTACTACAACAGTCAGGCCATCAGGTGTCAACGTGTTAGACCAACCTCCTAGGCAAGGGGACCAGACTCGGATAATGCACTGAGCCTGGCTCTATCTGTTTTCAGAATCATCTTTCAGTGGTGACATTCTCTCCAGCAGTCATCTGTCTGTTCATACATCCATTCATTCCATATTTAAGCATCTTAAATATATCATTAAAAAATAAGTTCTGGCCTTGAACTCCCAATATTCCTGCCTGAGCCTCTGCATCTCTGGAATTGCTGGCATGTATCGTCACCTTGAACACTGCTATTATCCGACAGCCACTCTGTGCCACCCAGGGTAAGAGCTCCTGAGGCGACACCAGCAAATGTGCAGGGATGAGCCTCACCCTCAAAGCACTTAAACTTAGTGATTGACAATCAGATGAACAGAAAGTCACGTGTGTCCTCATGTATGAGGAGAAAGGTTTCTGCCTTTGTCACTGTCGGTGAGCAGGGCAAGTCCCCTGTTCTGTGGACTTGTGGGTGCTAAAAGCAAAGGTGATGGAAATGAGAGGCTCAGAGGAATGAGCAGTGGGAAGGAACTAGGTACCATTATTCCTGGCATGAGGGAAACACCTTCAAGCATCACACAAAGAGAACTTAGCAGTGGAGTTCTGAGGCTAGTTAGGAGCCAATCAGCATCAAGCACCCAAGAGTGACTCATAAAGGGTCTTACTTTTCCAGATGATTCAGCAGGGAACCAGGAGGATGCTGGGTGGGCTGGGGAAGGCACAGTACCATACTGCTAGGACATACTTATCCAGAGCTGGCTGGCTGGGCTGGCCCCTCTCAGGAGCCTTCCCCTTAAATATTCTGATTTTCCCAACAGGTTCCTCTTTGGGCTCTACCCAGGACTTAGCTCTATCAAGTATGTATTGTCTGAAATAGAAATTCCCTATTATACAGTTGGATTGATGTGAAAAAAGCCATTATGTGACATTAACATATCAATTCATCGTTTTAAAATCAGTTTTTTAGATACAAAAGTAATACATATTTCATGCATTTTATGTGAAATTGTAACCAAAAAAAAAAAAAAGAAGAAGAAAGTCTGTGATAATATCAACACATCGAGACAACCACTGTTAGCATTTCAGTATATTTTCCTCCAGGCTTTTTGAAAATAAGACATAACTCATGTTATATATCATATTGTACTCTGCTTATTTTACTTAACCTTGGATGTCGTGTCTCTAAAAGTTCTCCATGCTTTATATAATCTTTGGTGGCACTGCAATTCATCATTTATTCTATTTCCTATTGTAGAATAATTCCTCCTCAAATCATCCTCTCTTGTTTGTTGCTATCATAGGAAAGTGCCACATAAAACACCCCCAGCATGCATTTTCCATGCAATGCCTACAGCAGATTAGCCAAGGAGGTGCGGGGCTGCTGGAGGTGGGGTGGGAAATGGGGTCTCAGCTAGGGCGGTTTGCTGGTCAGGGTGGGTCTGGCTGAGGAGGACAGGGGAAGCTTCAGGGAGAGGAGCAAGGAGACAAAGCAGAGGATCAGAAGCTTGGCAGACAGCAAGGGGAGGGAGTAGAAGAGAAAGCTGTTGAAAGTTCCAAGGAACAAGCCCTTTCCAGGGGCCTTGGCTGGGAGATCTCAGGACTGAGCCTGATGTATATCATCACCCTGTCCAGGAAACCCAAACAAGCTTTAGAGGCAAAACCTGAGCAGGGTGAAGTGATTAAAGAACAATTGAAGGTCAATTGACTCTAGTTCTCTGCTGGATGGCCAGAGCTGACTCCTGTCGACAATTATTTTATGGAGGCAGGGAGACAAGTGAAAGGAAGAGAGAGAGAAAAAGGATAGAGAGGGGAGAAGAGAGAGGGAAAGAGTAAGGGAAAGGCATGTATACATGGAGGGGCCAGAGGTTGATGTTGGCTGTCTTACTCAATCACTCTCTACCGTATTTCTTGAGACAGAATCTCTCACCAAACCTGGCGCTCACCAATACGGCTAGTAGCTAGCACTGGCCAACTGAGCCTCCTGTTCCCACTTCCAGTGCTGGGTTGTTCCCTGGGAGTACATAGCCTGCCAAGGCAAGTCATAGGGAGTAAATCTCTTCAGTGAATGGTCCTCCGGCACCCAGTGAAGGAGGGCTAGCCCGACAGCAAAGCTACAGCGATATTGAAGCCCTTGCCGAAAGCATTTGGTTACAGGTTCAAATAGTTGATAACAGATCAGAGAGGCACCCTTACAGATGGGAAAAGGGGGCAGAGGTGAAATGGTGCAGCATGCAGAATGGAATAGGAGAGGGGTGCCAAAACTAGGAGAGAAGATGTGCTCACCATGGGATGAAGATGGGCTCACTAGGGGAGAAGATGTGCTCACCTTGGGCTCACCTTGGGATGGATTCAGCATGCAGAGATGGCTAAGTTCACACCAGGAAACTTCTGTTTCTATTGCAGGGGCCTGAGGCCATGCTATATATATAACAATATACGCATCCCTTCATAGATGGAGGGGGTGGAGATGATCAATAGATCCTCACCCAAGATTCCAATTATTCCCTCATGTGCTTTCCAGGCCATGTATGTTATTTAGCCCTAATAATATGTGACCTCATGGTCCTTGGGAGGTACTAGAGCAGCAGCTCTAAACCTGTGGATTTCGACACTTCGGGGAAGAACAACCCTTTCACAGGAGTCTCCTAAGACCATCAGAAATTTCAGTTATTTATATTACGATTCACAACAGTAACAAAATTACGGTTACAAGGCAGCAATGAAAATAGTTTTATGGTTGGGGTCAGCACACATGAGGAACTGTATTAAAGGGTCGCCACATTAGGAGAGGTGAGAAGCACTGCTCTAGAGTATGTAGAGGGGAGAAGATTAATTGAGGAGGGGCTCCATTTATACAGCTATGGAAGGTGAGATATTGTAGTGATATTTCATTTGTATTTTAATAAATAAAGATTGCCTGAAGATCAGAGAGTAAAACAGCCAGACTGATCAGCCTGACAGAGCAGGCAATGGTGGCACACACCTTTAATCCCAGTAGCCACACTAGTTTGCCATAGAACCCGGGCGATGGTAGTGCACATCTTTAATCCCAGCACTAGTGAAGAATATAAAACTCAGGAGACAGCTCTCACACACAGTCTCATTCTGAGATTCCTGGAGGTAGGATCACCATTTCAGACCGAAGTAGAGGTAAGAGAGCCAATGACTGGCTGTTTTGCTTTTCTGACCTTTATGTTGAACCCCAATTCTGTCTCTGGTTTTTATTAATTGTGCTACAAGATATTTTGGTGGTGTGGCTGCTGTGGGGTTACTCATGCTCCTATAAGTAACCCATCATCCATGCTGTGTAAGCCCATTAAACTCATTGGTCCCAAGTTGGACTTTGGCAGAATCATATTCTGGTCTGTCTTTGGTGACCTATCTGGGGGAGGACACATTTGTCCATTTCATACCCAGGGGAAATTTCATGTAATGGGCGCTAATAAATTATATTCTTCAGATGACTTACAAGCATGGTGCCCATTGACTATTATTTGGGCTGCCAGGAAGGCAGGGCCTTACCCTCAAAGTCTACCTCGTTCCTAGGAAAAATATGCTTGATATTCTGTTGAGGCAAGAAGGAACAAATGAATGAATGAAATATCTGAAGGAAAATGCCTACTCTGGGAGTATAGCTTCTAAACGTGGCTCTTAGTGGGACACAACATGGCAGCTGCAGGGCAGAAGGCAGCGTTCTGTGCCATGGCAGCAGGGAAAGCGCTTGGCTGGCTCACTTAGCTCTATTGGCTGAGGTTTGGACTAAAAAGACCTAGGCATGTTGGAGCCTGGCCACACTCAGCAAGCATCTCCACGACAGATGGCCAAGAAGTCTGCCTCGTTTCTGTCACTCATCAGTAAGAGGAGGGTCAGAGTCCCTCAGGGGAACCACATTTAGCCTCTTAATGCACATTTCAGCCAAGTTTAATTTTTACAGTTTTAGCTTATAAAGAACGTTCTTTTAAGCACTAACCAAACTAAATTGCCATGAAGAAAGATACCCCAGTGATGAGGTTCCTTGTTGCAAGGAGAACCTCAGGTTATCTTGGTATGTTTCCACAGACTGAGAACTGGCACATACTTCTACTTGCTGGCAGGGAAGGAAATACACGCTTCAATATTGTCACGTAAAATTTCAGTGGCCCAGGGCATGCTCCTCATGACTGTGGCCATGGTAGCGGTGATTAAGGAAGAATTTCCATGACTAACTCATTGTGGTGTGAAGAAAATGTCCTCATTTTCATGGCGGTTTTGAAGTGAATCAGGCTGAAACCTGATATGCGCTTTCTCAGCCTGGCTGGGAAATTTTTCTTCCTAATGAAAACGGTTTTAATGCCCATAAGCTAGTCCAGAACGATTAAGCTGGCTATCACTGAGTCCTTCCTCCCTCCCTCCCTCTCTCTCTCTCTCTCTCTCTCTCTCTCTCTCTCTCTCTCTCTCGATTCCGAAGGATGAGAGGTTCTTGGCTTTCGTGACAACTGGAAGAGGAACCCTCTGTGGACATATGGGGGTGATTCATGTTGG